AAGAAAGAAAGAAAGAAAGAAAAGAAAGATAGGAAAAGGAATGAGGCTAAAGAAGAGAAGCGAAGTAGGAAGAAAGAAGAAAGGAAAAGAAGGAAAGAAGGAAGAGGAAAGAAAGAAGAAGGAAAGAAGGAAAGAAGGAAGAGGAAAAGAAGGAAGAAGGAAAGAGAAAAGAAGGAAAGAAAAGAAGGAAAGAAAGAAGGAAAGAAGGAAGAAGGAAAGAAGGAAAGAAAAAAGAAAAAGAAAGAAAAGAGAAAGAAAGAAGGAAAAGAAAGAAGGAAAGAAAGAAAGAAAGAGAAAAGAAAGAAAGAAAAGAAAAGAAAGAAGGACAAAGAAAGAAAAAAGAAAGGAAGAAAGGAAAAGAAAGCAAGAAGAAAGAAGAAAAAGAAAGAAAGAAGGAAAGGAAGAAGAAAGAAAGAAAGAAAAGACAGGAAAGAGAAGAAAGAAGAAGGAAAAGAAGGAAGATAGCGAAAAGAAGGAAAGAAGAAAGAGGAAGAGAAAGGAAAAAGGAAGGAAAGAAAAGAAGGAAGAAGGGAAAAGAGAAGAAGAGGAAAGAAGGAAAGGAAGAGAAGAAGAGGAAGAAGAAGAAGAAAGAAAGAAGGAAAGAAAGAAGAAAAAAGAGGAAAGAAGAAGAAAGCAGAAAAGAAAAGAAAGAAAGAAAGAAAGAAAGAAAGAAAGAAAGAAAGAAAGAAAGAAAGAAAGAAAGAAAATCTTGAAATGTTAAATTATCTGCTACTAAAAATAATCTTCTATAATATTCTAATCTGTCTGTAGCAAGTATTGTAATATAATCCCTAGACCAATGACTCCATCTCTATTAGGTTTTGTTCAATTTCCCTGGTCCCTTGAGCTGGGAATGGCCCCTTGTTTTGCTCCTGAACAGTAATATAACTTCGCTCTCTCCACCGAAGACATCGTATTGACTCGTCATACACGAGTGATATTGTATATGTGACTCAATATATTATTATTATTATTATTATGCGCTGTCCGATACCACGGTGTAAGATATTCTTATCTCGTGCAGATACGCATCCTGACATGTTTCAATCATGATGTTATTTCTTCCATAGTTTCAAGAATCTGTAAATTACACAAAACTGCGCACAGAGGGGGTCGGGGAGGTCGTGGCCCTCCTGAAAATTAAGAAGTGGGCCCGGTAGCATTACAGAATACAGTTTATTTCCGTCAATGTGTTAAATTCCTGATAATATAATACTCGAAATTGGATCTGGATATATTTGAATTTGCCAGTAGTATTAAAGTCAATGAGTGAATTTCAAATCCTCCCAAAATAACGGACTTATATGCGCACACCACCTAGGCAAAATCTAATTACGTGAAATGTTCGTTCCCGTATTATAGAAACTTCTTTAGAAATAAAAACGAGCTAAAAATTTGATATAATTGTCCTGATGTCGAAATAACCAATCCCACTCTTCTCTCCCATCTGGCAAAATAAGGGTGCAAGAAGACGTGCGCGGATAATATATTGAATGCGTTTTAACACGTCATTTTGTACATTTTATGAAACAATAATAAATTTATTACATACATTGTAGCAAGAAATTTGTTAAAAACTCTTAAACTTTCTAAAGACCAAAGGCACCAAGTGTGCCTCCTGTAACGGCTGAATTTGCGGTAAAAAGGTGAAAACTCTATCGAATTTACCCTTAAAAAATGGCCAATTTAGACACGATCCTAGAAAGATAAAACAACTTTAAAATCCGCCAAAAAATCAAAATCGTCCGAAGACAGTTAAAAATGTTGAAAAAGTTCGAAAATTGCCAAAAAAAAAGCCGGCTAAGTCGGAGTTGGATGTCTCCTAAAACCGCCCAAAATTATATATAAAAATCAGACAAAATTGAATAAGGGGGCCATGAAGTTGTCCCATTCTTGATTTACGCGACGTACGCCAGTGGTAAATTACAAACCATGTGCACAACTTGAGATAAAAGTTTCAGGGCGGTAGTGGGGAGGAAGACAAAAATCCATTCAAATAAATACAAGTATATAAGTGAAAGTATTGTTTCAAAGTTTTAATGATATTATTATTACTATTATTAACAATAATTCCATAATAATTTAATATTGATAATAAATATAAATATAATTAACATAATTTATAATAATTAAATATTTAAATATAATTATTTAATAATAATTATGATTAACTACATTTTGGCCAATCAAAGAGTTTATTGCTTCGGTCGAGAATCGAACCCAGATCTCCCGGGATACTCCAAGTAGCTCTAACCACTTGAGCCAGAAGTAAGGTCAACTCCTCGATAACAGTCCAGGAAAAAAAGAGTCCCTGACGGATGTGTAAGAGGTCTCTCAAAGGGGCACCACCTAGTCATAGTAAATACAGACGAGAAAATATCGAAAATATTTTCATCTATGCCATCTGCATTAATTAAAAAAATGTTTAATAAATCATATTCCGCCCTTGTACACCTATTTTCCTTCTTTCTTCTTTCTCACTATATTGTTATGACGAAAACAAGTTAATTTCATAAAACTTTTTTTGCTGTTAACATGCGTAGTCACAAAATAACCACGCGATTTACCGGGGACTTGCCAGATTTAACCGAAGAGATGTACAACAATGCCGTGGTCACGATCTAAAAACCAAAAGATAAGTCCGTTTTACTGGCCTGTAATGTAGTCACTCACTAACGTGCACACTCGTAGCTGGCACTATGATGGGACGACTGGAAGCCCTCTCACGGCTCGCCGTTTTATACACGGTCAGGGATAAAGGCTCGCCGAAGTTTGTATTAGTTTTTTATACAACCCACGTCGCTTTTAGTTTCCCGTAATCATTTCATTTTTTCGAGAAAATTTAACATCTACTTTGAATTAAATGATCACACACACAAACATATAGGTAATGTAATAGTAATTTATAAGATGAAACATGTAAATTAGAGTTGAGGTACAAGACCGGAAGGCGAACTGCGAGGGAGGTGGAGCGATTAGTTAACCGACCTAAACCCTAGCTGTTGAAGGACGCGTGACACTCAACACTTTTGGTTATTTTAAAACTATCATTTGAAGGTCAATATTTTGTAACTATTACTTTGAAGAAGGTAATTTTCGTCAATCTTTATTTTCTATGACAAAACCTTCTCTGTGGGCGGCCTTCTTTGAGGTGAGACAATTGAATGGGTTAGTTCTACCTTATTTTTTTTAATTGGCGAAAGAAAAATGTCAGTGGAATAAATGAAGATTTTGTAATAGCGATCAATGATAGTGAAATCATCAAGTTTATGGTCTAATTCAGAAATAGAAAATGAATAAAAGCACAATAGAAGCTTGGATCAGATGGCCGAGATCACTAACGCAGAAGTGCCGTAGTGGCCTCGAACCAAAAGATCGGAGGTTCCAGTCCCGCTTCGGGCATGGGTATATTTGTATTTGTATGTGTGTGTGTTGTCCTCTCACCCCTCATTATCATCATTATGGGGCGGATTTTGATGACCAAAACATTGCCAAAATGATCAATGAAAGGGTCTTATAATACTTTTAAAATACCCTAAAACAAAGAAAAATGACGTACACAAATTATTAAAACCATTTCATATGACGAACTTAGGCTGTTGGATATGTTACTGACGTAATCGAGGCTTCTTCCTTTTGTTCACGTGAACTGAATGTGCAAACTGTTGGTTTGGACCGTTATTTAACAGAAAACCTCTACCTTTATTTATCGCGAAATCGGCCGAACTGATAATGGACCTAGAAACGTCACAGGAACCTTGGATTACACAGTACTCACAACGGCTGACATTACAATATAATATATTGTAATATGTATTGTATCATGTTATGAGCGAAGAAATCTAATAGGCTACTCAGGAATTCTGTGATGAACATTTGTTGCACCTCGTAAATATTGTTTGAAGCAAGAACCATTAAAATGATGTTAAAATCGATGAAATCTGTGAAAAATGCAGTAAAATGACGTAAAAAGGTAAACAATTACTTAGTCAAACTCGACGAAAAATGCAAAAACCATGGCACATAAAAATGGACCGTTTCGTCATAACATAAAATGAATTTCTATACTAAACAGCATTGTTCTAAAGTGAAAAAGGAAAAAATGACATTTCATTAAAATCCGTCCCCTAATCATCTCATCATCTTCCATATCCCCAGAACTAATAACGCTGGGGGATAAAAATCGGATCCAGCTAAATGCTGATCGCCTGATAAAAATTACACGCTCCTGCCACCGAGAGAATGTTTGTGAGCCCCCATAAATGCAAGGCGCATGCACGCGTGGTCCAAGTTGGCCTATTCGCAAAAAAAAAAAAAAAAAAAAAAAAAAAAAAAAAAAAAAAAAAAAAAAAAAAAAAAAAAAAGTTTGGCATGTTTATGTAAATTACTTATTTTCCTATCAATTCAAATGATACAGTAGCTTCATGGCAATTAAGAAAAATAATACCTTTGTGCCAAAACAAGTTTGATTTAAAATGTGTTCTAAATTGTTCGAGAGAAAGTAGTTATCTAGCAACGATGTATCAATTATTTAACATAGCAACACTAAAATAAACCCCAAAGACCACTCCAATTAATTTAACGTCCACGGAAGTATAAAACTACCATACGGTCACGGAATTGCTTGCTAAAGACCGAAGTTGTATTGCTTAATGTAATAGACCTAAGTGCATTTACGTGAATACAAAATTACTTATTTAAGATTGTATTAATGCATTTGCGTGCTCTAATGTGCGCGTTTCCCCCAACATGTTGTTGTACCGCGCACAGCATTTTGCGTCACATGGCGTCGCCTAAACAGATCTCTGTTTAGGTGCTTCGAATCCAGAGGCAAACGTGAGACGGCGTTTCTGCCGGCGGTGACGCGGGGCCTGTTGTAACAAGCGGAGGAGATTGACGTCAAGGTCGTGATGTTAACCCTTTAGGACCCGAGGGGCAGTGAATATAAAGCATCGGCGAGACTCGTACGTCGGTCACATGCCCGCAATCCGATTGATGCGCTGAAGATTTTTCTTTGTGGAATTGTTTCTTTAGTAATTTTTCAGTTCACGTTGATCAGCGTTCTGAAAAAAAATCACATCTCGGTTGTGAATTTTATGTGTGAAGGTTCTCGAGTCGGCATTTATTTTTGAAGAATAGTACAGCACCACGTCCTACATCACGAGCTGTTTTAAACGTAAGTAGTCAATACTTACCTCTTTGTTAAGTAAGACATTGTTTCGAATGAACTTCACTTCCGGGGTGATGTGTATGTAGAGCTTATTTCTTTCAGAAATTCGACTCAAAGAATATTTATAGTAGAATGGGTATTGAAGAAGTGTTTGAAACACATTCACGAATGTATTATTAAATATTATTAATAATAATAATAATAATAATTAATATTTCACAGTTTAACTATTCCCTGTTTATTAACTGTATCATGATAGAACTTCATTATATGAGGAATCTAAGTGAACTTTTAATTGAGAGACTGGGCAATAAATCGACAAGGCGTCAGCCGAAACGATTAACCATCAGTGATTAAAATCACTTAATTTCCGTTAATAATATACGTTTTATTTAATTTCAACTATAATTGAAAATAAAACTTGTGTCCAATATATTAAAAGTAGCGATGTGGGCCCCCATTAGGGATGGCAAAAAACATTTTCGGCCAAAAAACATGATATATTAATGCCGATGTTTTGTTTTCAATGTTTTCTTCTGATCGATATATTCTTCTGGAAACATTGATGTTAAAAAATTCATGATGTAAACAAAATTTAGAGAATCAATTTTTTTGTGAATTGCTCCAAATGAACAGCTGCTGACATCTAGCACTGTTGTCAATCCCCAGCCGTCGCGAAACTCGTTACCGTCCGCAACATTTCTCCCGTGATGTCAGGTTAGGGGATTAATGTAAAGACGGAAAAAATCGTCTTTTGATCTTGCTCTTATTATTCAGTTTAATTCATAAATCTTCAAAGTATAACGTTCTGGATGAAGTGTGATACATAATACGTAAATATCAGTTTTAAATATATTCTACGTCAATTCACCTTCTTCATTTTTAATCAATATTCTATATAGACAAGGTTCAAAATGCACTTAAACGATGATCCTACACACAAAATCATTGAAAAGGTAACAAACATAATTATTAAAAACGCTAAACATTGTAAAAGCGTTGTAAGAGTTTTTTTTGGATAAGGCAATTTTTATGCTTCTTAAATAATTCTTTAATATGCATACACCTGTACCGAATATTAAAGAGAATATTAAAGCTCGCTTCGAACGATCTACCTCTCAATCAGTTCGTCAGTCCAAACATTTTTCTTGAACATTCTATTTGAAAAACATCGAAAACGTTAATATATCGATGTTTTAAAAACATTAATGTTTTTGCCTCCCTAAATGTTTAAGCACCAATACTTTAAATCGCTGAAAATATTTTTTTCTTTCTCATTTCCAAGGGTTTAACATTGACAAAGGCAAAAATCCCACATGGTTCTAAATTTCTCCACATAAATCGTAAAAAATTGAAAACAATGATCCCAACACTACATGAAGCTGCACTGATATGAAGGATCGAAGTTTCTAGCATAATCTTCAACGATGGAAACGTATGGACGAATAAACTTAGCTTGCAGCATTAGAAAGGATCGGACACATGTTTGATATTGTTTGAGTCAAACCGTCTCTTTCTCAAACACCATATTCCGAGTTTGTTTATTTTGCAAGTAGACAGTCATCGTAAGTGATCTTACGTTATATCTTGGTTATCTTGTTTAAATGTTATTATGTAAAGAAAGTGCTTTAGGTTTTGACCGATAGGAAAGTAGCCACTAACAAATAAGGAGAAATATCATCGTATACATTTTATTAACAGATGATTTCCGAGTGGGTGCAATTTAATTGGTTAACGATATGTATAGCAGTTATTCCTCTTATTTATTTGTACCTAACATGGAACTACAATTATTGGAAGAAGAGGAATGTCGCCTTTGTGAAGCCTCAACTTATATTTGGAAATTATAAAGAAGTATTTCTACAAAAGAGGACTGTGAGCGAAGTAATGGAAGATATTTACAAGTAAGTATTTTTAAATTCTTCTATTATTTCAAGAATTATGAATTATGTATAATATACGAAAATTCTTTGTATGATTAGATATTAAATAAATTTGTGGAGAAAAGCGGTGCGATTAGCTTTCCATCCTGAGGGCACAAAATCACTGTGTAGAATTTTGGTGTACAGTAGGGACAATATTTACATTTTCGCATCTGAAGATATGTGGCTTTGATCTTATATGGTTCTTGTGACGTGGAATTTTTTCCCCAGGCGACTTAATTCCAGGGATTTAACGCCACATGTAGAATGGGGTTCTTTCCATGTGTCGCAACTTCATCACTCTCTCGTAATTCGGATAGGCATAATACCCCAAATGGATTTGTACAGGTCATTATCCTCATACCTGTTAAGGGGCTATTGATCGACACTAGTACTGTCAATGTCCGTTCTAATGCACTTTGCCAAGAGCGCTAGTTCATTCTTGAGAAGATCCTGCGCCCTGGGGTAAGAGCAGCGAGTGTCACCATGTCCACGGTGCCATTGAGGGCTGCTGACGGTGAGTACATATGAGCTTCCCAAACTCTCCATCCAATTGGTTGAGATTGGTTAAATGAAAAACTTATTTTGAGCTCATTTCCCACCTCAGCCAGCTCTCGATCTGCATTGCTCGTAGTTTGAGAAGTAGCCAAGATTCCTATTAAAGTTAAAGTATTTTCCTTCCAATGAGGATTAGCTACTTGTTTAACCCTGTTGAGATTAGTTTCAGTAGTTGCCTTCCTGGTACTCGTCGGGGACTCAATAACATTTTGTTGTCTCCCTGGCCGACCAGCGGTGTCGGAACTGACCGCGTCAATAACAGAAAAAACAGAATCAAAGAGGGCGAGCACGACCGAAAGCTCTTGATTCACATCTGTAACTATCATGGCCTTCTCGTTGGGGGACCCGTATCATCTTTCGGGGGGGGGGGGCATGTATACCACTAAAAGTTCGTCGGCGCTACTGTCTTTCGGCCGAGTTCGGAACCTTTATATAAGCGCCAGCACAGAGGATCACTGGCTTCCTCTCCTGACTTAAGGTTAGGCCTTCGATACATGGAGGAGAAGACATCCATTTGCTCACAGGAGCACAGGAGGCTTACGAGAACTAATAACCCCGGGAAGCGAAGCGATAGAAAGATTTGATGGATTTACCTACCTCCGATAATCAGACGGGTACGATTATGATTCGGCAGTCAGAATAGCTTCAGCTCCAATGGCTGCTGAATATCTTCGATAGTCTTTTCTTTCTCGTCCACCAATCAGATGGTCGTACCTAGCAGGAGATGTAGATTCAGTGTAGACAATTATCCCACACACTTATTTGTACTTGAGGCTATTTTACTCCCCGTTGGAATGGCATACGCCCCAGAACCTGCGTGGAACCGTCCCGCCAGCTCGAGACTGCTACCTCTCTGGGCCCTTATCGGAGCAGTTTCCTCCGCTCAATGCGCTTGGAGTAAACTCCTCATCAACACTTGAGTCTCGGGCGCTACCACGACGGATCCAACACTCCCACTGGGGCCATCAGGGACGCAACATTCTGCATTTTACATACAAAGATTCTGCTTTATATAGTATTAAAAAATAATACTGTAAAAAGAATAGCTAATTACACCTGTGAATATTCTGTACCTTGCAATGAAAACCTCACCGAAATACATTTTGCCGAATATTACCCCAAAAAAGAAGACATACAAATATTTCAAAACCTTTGTTTCGGTTTTTGTATTATAAACACAACCAAATGAGCTTACAAAAGAGCAAGTATATTGAAAGCTCTCTCAATTGATGAATTTATTTAGTGCGAAGTGAACACAGTATACCGAGCGAAATAGTTCAAGGCGTCGCCCGCTGACTTCGCATTCGGGAGGCCCGGGATCAATCCCTGTGCCGGCCATTCTGACCGATGTTTTCGTGGATTCCCTCGGGCATCCAGGCGAATGCTGGGATGGTTCTACTGAAAGGCTACGACCTAGACGATTTCCTTAACTACGTGAAGTCAGGAAGGTTATGCGAATTCGAGTCATCGCGGGTTCCTGGTTGGGTGACCGACTAGGCACCCCGGGATTTAACGGCGCCGAGGCCAATTGCCCTTTACGGGACATATAATGGCTAACAAAAATACATCACATTCGACGGAAAATGATATCATATAGTTCTACTAACCATTAGAGTTTTAGAAATATTGTTCTTTACGTAATTTTTACATACAATGGGCCTGCATTATTGAGCAATCACCTATAAAATATATTAATAAAATATTTCAGAATATTCATCACTAGGGGGCTGATTTTAATGAATAGTATTTTTTCCCTCTTCACCTCAGAACAATGCCATTTAGTATAGAAATTAATCTTTATGTTATGACGAAACGGAATAATCCATTTTTATGTTTATTTTCTACATTTTTCCCGATCTGGACTAATACGTCATTTTTAACCATTTTCCTAATTTTTACTACATTCATCGCGGATTTCATCGATTTTTACATCACTTTAATGGTACTTGCTTCAAACAATTTACGAGGTGCAACAGATGTTCATCACAGAATTCTTGAGTTGTCTATTGCATTTCTTCGCTCATATGTTATAATGTCAGCCATTGCGAGTCCTATGTAATCTAAGGTTCCTGTGACGTTTCTCGGCGTCTTTGTCTGTTCGGCCGATTTCGCGATAAATACAGGCAGAGATTTTCTTTTGAAGAACAGTCGAAGAAACAAAAGTTTGCAAGCTGAGTTTAAGTGAACAAAAGGGAGAAGCCTCGATTACGCCAGTAAAATACCCAACAACTAAAATTGGTCATCTGTAGTGATTTTGGTCAAATGTTTTACGTCATTTTTCTTTGTTTTAGGGCATTTTTAAAGCATTTTGGGAGCATTTTATTGATCATTTTTGGCAATGTTTTAGGTCATCAAAATCCGCCCCTTACTCATTAGCAACTGTAATTTTCCAGAAAATACAAGTAATGTTTCAATTCGCAGGAAGCTTGATGGTAAACCATTTGTTGGGTTTTGGAGGTTTAGGACGCCTGGCATCTTGGTGAGAGATCCAGAAATGGTTAAAACCGTCCTGATGAAGGACTTCCATAGTTTTGAAGATAATGCTATCATTGTGGACCCAAAAATGGATCCCTTACTAGCTAAGAATCCATTTTTTGTAAGTGGAGAAAAGTAAGTACCTTAAGTAAGTACCTTCTCACAATCAAACTATTCAAATTGTTAAATTTACTCAGGAATGGCTTTTGAAGGTTCCTGAGGAATACGTTTGTCACCTTGTCATCTTTTCACTGCGTACAATCCACACTCATTTGCCCTGTTGGCAGTAACAACTAATGGAAAGAGGTCGAATGAAGATATTTTTTTAAAAAGAATGTTGTACGCAACATTGCGCCAGAACCGACTCTTCTTTTTTAAAAAAAAATGTGCAAACACTCTAGTATTAACTAAGAGCAACGGAATAATTAACTATCAAAAATTGAATATATTTCAAGATTTTTTTACACATCCTTTAAGGAAAACAATAGGGCAGTGTAAAAATGGGATTTAAAAAATAAGTGGGGAGGCTGTGTAATTCGCTCATGAAAACAATGAACTATTTTATCACTTATTCCGCTTATTCATTTGTAGTGTGAAAGTAAAACAACTGTTTTTAACCAAAATATAATTTTTAATTTACATAAGATTTTCTATTTCTATATATTTTTGATAAAAATATATTTGATAATATTGTTATAATAAATATTTAATAAGTGTTTGACACAAAATATTATGAAAGTTTGAATCTTTCGTTTTGTCTTGATATCAATGTTAATAATTCGAAGTTGCTTCATTTTTCAAATACTCAATTTGTATTATAAAGTACTACGTTTGTATATGAACTTATCATATAAAGTGCCCTTTTATATTTAGTTAACTGTGGCGTAAAATTCATTAATTTAAATCAATTATATTGATCAAATATGGCTTTAAGGAATGATGTAGATCAGGAGTGCCCGACTTGCAAGGCCTCAAGGTTCACAACTATCACTTTTAGTACGGTTGCGAGCGATATTTGCATTACTCGGTCGATCCACACCTGACTTCCCCCTATTGTTGATCTCAGCAGTTTGCTCAACTGCTCTGAAACCGGGGGGAGGGGGGTGGAACCATACGCGATATCAGGTCTTACCATGCATAACGCACTTAAACGCATTCAGCAGAATATCTGAATTTACTATAAAAACCTTTAAATATAAACAACCTACTATTTTTGCATAAAGGAATTTTACTCCTGGCAGAGCGCGTGCACTGGGCGCGCAATGATCTCGCCCGATCCAGATGCAAGGGACTTTCGCTTCTGACTAATAACCTTTCGTAGTCCAGAGTAGTTGGCACCGCGGGCCGGAAGTTGGGGAACCCTGATGTAGATCAATTGACGCGAATATTATGCGGCCTCCCCGTTTGCCTCGCTCTGTGCAGATGGAAGAACATGAGGTCAGTGCTGTCGCCGTCCTTCACCAGCGGGAAGCTGAAGCCGCTGCTGCCCCTCATGGAGGGCGTGTGCGAGGAGCTGCTGGAGTACCTGCGCGCCACGGCGCCCACAAGCGCTCCAGGTTCGTCAGGCATCAAGTCAGGCACAAAGGAGTATGGTGTTCGCAGCAGTGCCATTAGTCAGGCTCATTTGTGAACACGAAAAAAAGAACAGTTGCAGTATACCAGATCCATGACACTGTAACAAGGGAACTCCCTAAACCAGTACATATTTTCTCGCATTAGTTCTAACCTTCGCAATTTTCGAAAATTCAGGGAGTTCAACAAAAATGAAACATGCACATTTTTTGGGATCTCTTTGTGAAAAAATAATTGTACATGTAATACTTACTTTACAGGCACGTTTTAATGCATTACTATATTTCTGAGTACAAAGACTTCAAGCAATTTTTAATGAAGTTCAAAAACTTCTTTTTTATGAAAAATAACTGAAATTGCGAGTTATCAGAAGTTTTTTTCAAAAACAGCTTACAATGTTTCAATGAAAAGTTTGCAGGTTTCACTCTTCTACGGCAGTTTAAGTCGCATTTAAATTAAACTATTAGCGGAGGGATAAAACGAGAAAACATGAGGAGAAATGTATTTTAGGCCCCGATAGGTAGCAGCTGAAAAAAAAGCAGAGAAAAATCGAATAGCTAGTGCAGACTAAGCAGATTATGGAACACAGTAGTACAAAAAAATCTGTGCAATTCTATAGCACCATACATTTTATAACGAAAATAACACAAGAACTTTTAAAAATAAAGTTATTTTAAAATCACAGACAGATGGTTCAATTTTATAAATACGGTTATAGATTACTGCCATCGTTCCGATCTCATCAATCCCATCCATGTGAATATCGGGAGCAAAAAGTCGGAGTTATTAGTAGATAATTGACAAAAAAGAAAAGTCATAGTTCTTGCATACGTTGGTTACGGCCGAGGAGTAATAAAGCTCTTCTACGAATACATGAGGGCTTGTCCAATGAGAAGTCTAATTTCATCTGATTAAAAAAGTGGTCTATTTTCCCTCATAATCAGACTCATTACATAAACTAGGTTAATAGAAGATGCGACGTTAAGTAATCTGGATACTGTCTGCCCTCATCAACTCATCTTCACATCCTCATTTAATTATTTGGTAATCGATTAACATATTTGTGTTGTTTTTCAGACGGGATAGAAGCATCACTAACGGCGTTCAAGTATACTGTTGAAATGGTCGCAAGATGTGCTCTAGGAATTAAAGGGAACAACTTTACAGACTCTGAAGGTCATCTTAGAACAATGGTTAGAAGGATTATAGCACCAGGATTCTGGAAGAATATAGAGTTCATGATTATGAATTTCCTTCCATCTATGGGATCGTTTCTTCATCTTAGGTATGAAAATCCAAATTAGAGAACTCAATTCATTTCCAATTACGTAAAAGTATAGAGAATTGCTTTTTAACGAAACTTTGCTTGATAACTACAAAATGAATTTATTATGGCAATATAGTAATGATAACTTTATTATTTCGAAATGTGAAGCCAATGTTATATAAATACATATTCCTCTAGATATTACATTTTTATAGCCCTACAGGAGCTTCATTTCGAAAAATATGCCTGTTGTACTTTTCATTGGCATTGATCTGCACAACTCACAATTTTAAAGGATTAATTTGTATTTCTAGCTGCTTTCTTCATAAAAACTGCAGATAGACATCCTACAATTAACATATTAAGAAAATTCATCATTGTTAATGATCAACATGTTTTGCAGCTGGATGCCGAGAGACGTTGATTTGTTCTTTACCAAAATAGTTACTGATGTGATGGATTACCGCAAAAAGAACAATGTCATTAGACCAGATTACCTTCAGTATTTAATAAACATGTCGAAAAAGGAAAACGGTGTAGGTAAGATACATTTGTATTAGTGTGTGTATGCGTGTGAGCGCACGTGTGTTTGTGTGCGTGAGTTTGAGTGCGAGACTATGTTTGTGCGTGTGCTTATAGAGTTTCAAGCCTCCAGAAGCCCATGCCACAAATTCACATAATATTTTTTTGATAATTTCCTAATGAAATAGTATAAGATAAGTGACAATCTAAGAACATGCTTAAATCTGTCTGATATACCATTTTAATTGCTGGAATACTATTCCTGTAGACTGGACTCCTGGTATTCTGTAGATTTACTATTATCTTCGGTACTCTATTTTACTAGCTTTGTGAACAATGAGTGAATTTTCGATATAATATTTTCGCCTTTCCATATCATTGCTGTCGCTTCCAAAGATAAACCAATTTTCAATTACAGTGCTAACATTATTATGTTTCACTCGGTAGAAAGTGATAGTGGTCGATTTTAAACATTTATTAGACCTTCATTTAACGCACATACACACTTCAGAGTTGCCTACGAGTATGTCACAATGTCAGCAGGCAATGTTTGCTGGTACATAAGGTCTACACATAATCACCGAGGTCGATTTAAACAGTTGTCAGTGAAGAAACTACGGGATTGCGTGCGGAACCATTGTTCCCGGGTCTTTAACCTCTTTATTCCTTGCGAACCTTCTCCCTTGAGTGCTTTCTTCAGAGGTCCGAACGCATGCAAATTGCTGAGCGAGAGATCTGGACTGTAATGTGGAATCTCCAGGATTTCTCATCGGAATTTCGCAGTAGTTCTTTCTATTTAGAACTTGTGCCCCATTAGACAGAGGCATAGCTGCATGTGCTACAGATGCTACGGGGGCGCCGAATCAGGAAGTCCAAATGCGGCTCGTCATTGCCATCAGGACCGAGTTCGGGGGCCCAGGTACCATCGCATGAGCCTAGCTCCGCCGCTGGCAATAGAACGAGCATTTTCTTGCAACAGAATAGGCCCGTTTGACAACATACCGCGACTGCGGTTCTTAAGGACAATTACAGAACACTGCATACGTTTTGCCATGCAGTGCGCTCCCGATTCCGGCCATTCCAAGAGTAACGAACCAGCCTCCTCGAACTAACACGTCGGCATTAGATTTCCTGCTCGAATTGGCGAACAAAGTTGTTGGCCGAGTTGAGCGAGAATGTCGCCACTCCAAACTCATTCATTTCGTTGCTTGTGTGAAGATATGGCAACAAGTTTCATCACAATGCACAATACGAAACAGAAAACGGTTTCGTTCAGTTTGGTAGAGCGTGCGCTTCCCGTCAACAAAACTTGAAGTACAGCACGTTGTGCGTGTTTGGAGGAATTCATTCCATACCCACCCACAGTTACTCACGCTACATGTTTGTTATATACACTGGGGGCGCAAACTGCTTGACAGCTTTCTTCTAACACACTTTGCTAACTACAGTGACATTTTCAAAATTCTGCTTCTTATCATAATGGCACTGCAGCCTCAGTCCCACTTTCTGTTTGACGAACCTTATATAAATGAAGAAATATTTGAATGCGTGATGAGAGTATGAGACGACTTGGATGAGCCTGCGAGTTCTCACTCGTATATCCAAATTGCGACGGGATGTGGAATACGAAGTCTACGGGATATACCATTTCCCTCTCGCAGGGTCATTCTGTAAGTTGTTGCGACTTCCACTAAGATGTGAGTTTCAAGAATATGTGTAATTAGTTGTTTGCGTGTTGTTTGGTAGATGACGTAATATCAGCAGCTTAATAGTATTGTATATCATTAAAGCACATCCTCTCTTTGTTTCCGCATAAATAGCGTCCTCACCGACTCCGGTTTCCCACACAAATCTTTAAGCGAAACGTTTTAGGAGAATTATCAGCCACAGCACTGCAACAGAATCTAGTCGAACGTACCAGTAACTAACCGAGCCATTAGTTAATCGAAAGTCTGATTATTTGGGCCAAATTCAGTTAAAACTTGAACGCACTTCAGGAGATTTACAGTTGGTAAAAACATTCAAGATGAAAAACGAAATAATGTATATTATATGTTGTGTGATATGTTGAATATAAATATACAAGAATATACAAAATACTGAGTTTACCTTATATACAGAACATTTACAAACTCCATGGAATATTTATTATTTTTAATCTTTACGACAGCAAGCACATTTTTTTTCTTTTTCGTGTACAGAGTAATCTACACGATACAGAGAAGTTATATAATGCTACGGGAAACTGATTTCAAGACTTTACGTAAATACACTTTTGGGATCCCATGACATCGAAAAAGTGTTGTTTTTTTGTCTGTCGTGTGTGAAGAACTGAAGCATGTGAACCATATGTAGGTTTTTTGCCAAAACGAATCTTCTCCGATCTTTCTGAAATGGCTCGAACCTCTGGAAGTTTGAAACGAATTCCTTGAATTTTCGGGGAAATTACTTGTTGCCCCAGAAGCATTTTTAAAAACTTTTCTCAAAAATAGCTCCAATTTTTTCTTTAAATATTTTGATAGTTCTGAATGCATAGAACAAAAAGACACGAGATTTCAATTTACATTATTCCAAGATCTACTTTTAAAGAACAGATTTCGTTAAGGAAAAAATATTCATAATTGGTATTTATGCAATGTTAATATTTTGATTACAATTTTCAAAATTCTCCACAAATATATAAATATGCATTACACATCTAAAACGTTAGTTCCAAAAATGTGGCATCCTGAAAAAAACGAATGGTTCTCACTGGGTAAACTATCGTAATGCCGACCATGTTGATAAATGTTTAACCATATAATCCATTGAGATGAAAAGTAGCGTTACCTTTACGACCCAGTACCTAAATGATAATCGTGTGAGTGGAAATCACAGTTTCTCCATGGAATTAAACAAATAAACAAAAAACAGCAAACTAAGGATACTAAATGAGGCAACGTTATGCAGAAAGTTTTCTCAGACTTTCAGGGTCTCGTCCATTTCGAGTTTACCGCGAAGGTCGAACTGTAACAAAATAATAATGTGAAAATCCTTTGTCGTCTCAGGAAGATAGTAAGATAAGGTCGAAATATAGTAATCCCGCCCTAGCACGCACTTTCTCGCATTAGTAGCGGTTACATAATATCATAACGCAGATCCTATCCATATTAATACATATCAGCCATCACAGACGTCATGCTGGAACAGCCTTGTCAGCACGCCGAAATGAAAGATGTAAAATGATTTATTACTAATTAATTGCTACGTATTTGCTTGGCGAAAACGGGTGTGAGCTGGGCTGACGCGACGCCAGCACATACATAAGTTAAAATTACTTCTAGCTGAACGGAAACCATCAGGTGATTTATTGCTAATTGCCACAATTTGGAATTAACTGCCCCGAATCTTTGTGGCGAAAATGGGAAGCTGGGCGTCAGCACACACGTTTAATTCGCGTCTTAGCTTGACAGACACCCGGAGGCAATTTATTGAAAATTAATTGCTAATTAATTGCCATGTATTTTCGTGGCGAAAACGGGTGTGAGATGGCCGCCAGCACACACATAAGTTAAATTCTTGTCGTAGCTTGACGGAAACCCTCAGATAATTTATTAATAATTAATTGACCGAAGATACATGAAAATTAATAAGCAACTAATTAGCAATAAATTATACGAGATTTTCCGTCGAGCTACGACTGGAACTTAACTTATGTGTGTTTTGGCACGCAGCTCACACCCATTTTTGCCACGATACGTAGCATTTAATTCCAAATTGTGGCAATTTAATCAGCAACAAATTATCTGAGGGTTTCCGTTGAGCTACGGCAAGAATTTAACTTATGTACGTGCTGGAACCCAGCTCACACCCGTTTTTGCCACAACGTAAACGCGTGGAATTTTGGCGTCGATGTGTTAGAAGTTTAATATTTTCTGCAATTTTCCAGCGTACACGGAAGCGGACGCCCTGGGCCACGCGGTCACCTTCATGACGGAGGGCTCGGAGACGTCGTCCATCACGCTGGGCTTCGCGTGGTACGAGCTGGCGCGCCACCCGGACGTCCAGGCCGCGGTGCGGCGCGAGGTGGTGGCGGCGCGGGGCGCCAACGGCGGCCGCCTGCCCTTCGAGGCGCTCATGGAGCTGCCGCTGCTCGACCAGGTCCTGCAAGGTGCGTCTCTCCCGCACCCTTCCCTCTCTCCCGCACCGACAGAGGGGGCTCGGGGCGCCTCTGGCCGGGAGGCCCTAGGGTTCGAATCCTGCAAGGTGCGTCGCCCGCCCTTCACTCCCACACTCTTCCCCACGCAACGGCAGAGGGGGCTCAGGGAGTCAACTGATGGCACCGCAGTGCCTTTGATCGGGAGGTCCCGACAATGACAGGATTTTCGATAGTAACTAGACAGCTAGGTCGAGTTCAACATCTGTATGGCGGAGAATTATAGCGGCCGGCTGCTCTGATCGGTAGTTTTCCGTGGTTTCTCCGAACAATACTATGCGAATGCCGGAGCAGTGCCCTCACAAACGGGCCACTCCGGATCTTCCTTTCTTCTTCAGTGTCTTGTTCTCAACCCTTACATACGCATACTTCTATGCACATACACTACCCTATCACACTTGTCCGGTGAGCTGGAGCAGTGCCCCGCTGGGGGAAGTTATCTGGTTGAGGAAAATTTGTAAGTCGGCGTTTGATCTCGGCATCCAGCGGGGGAAGATAACAGCCAACTAACGTGGTAAAACATACACTACACTTATGGGAATAACGACCTTCGCAGTTGAGGCGCACGGAATCACTTATCAATCAATCGATAGCGCACAGTTTCCTTACTAATTTGTCAACTAAAATATCAGTTAATGAGCCTTGACCTGATTTCGCGAGCGGTAAACTGGAATCGTCGGTTGCAGGTCCAATGTTCGACCATGTGTCCCCGTGCAAAGTTAGTGTTTCTCTATGGCATTCTCAATGAAACGTTATGATTCAGTACTAATATTACTATTTATGTAAGATTACATATACCACTTTTTGACGGTCGATGAGACGTTAAGCACGCTCGTTGCGCACTCCTACCTTCCCGTAAAAATTGTATTGTTTTCTATGCCACAGAATACAGTGGTTTGGTCTGTCATGCGATCGACAAAGTGCAACTGTGTACACCCCTTGCAGCCTACTATATTCCTGATCTTAAACTGAAGCGAAAACACCACATTCCCGGGAATAATATCTACATTATTATTTAAAGTGCCTTTCCCAGAACAAAAGCTAGAATGACGCGCTTTCGGAGTTTTGTAGTTTTTTTTGTTTAAGATCGATAAAACAAAGGTATTTGTACATATAGATATTCACTTTAACCTATCCCTTTACTGACCAAGGATGAGACTAGGAGAAGAGTCACCAATTATTTATTTATTTTATGGTTTTGAGCTCATCGGTCAATACGTTTCGATAATTATTTTAAACTTCTACAAGAGTTATTCAGTGTAGTATTTATAAAATCAGAATTCATTCAAGAACAAGGATATGTTTCAAAATATGTTTGATTTGATTCATTAACAGCTTGTATTTATCTTTCTTTGTGTCACTTTGCGGCTTACAATCAACTGAATCATTTAATTTGTGGTGATCGAGAAAAAAATGTGCTCCGACGAATCCTAAAAGCTTATCGTTAGAGCTTAAACATTTTTTTTATTGGAATGTGATATGCGATGTAGTTTCAGATATATTAGAAGATTACTCAAAGCGCAATATGTATTAAATGCATGAGAAATGAGATAATAATTGTTCAACCTAGAAGTGCTAACAACATCGAAGTGAGCTAACAACTTCTGAATTCCATAATCAGCGATCAAAACGTCTTTAAATCTATTTCCCGTCGGAAGAAATCTAGTATACGTATCATATCATCATCAACCTCGTGGCTTGGTTAGCGTGCTCGCTTTCCACTACGTGGGCCCGGGTTCGTTTCCTGGTCAGGCAAGATTATAGTGTGCGTTTTCCTTGTAGTGTGCTAGTATACGTAGCTGTATGATGAAAAAATGCACTTCTCAGGTTGAGAAAACTGGAATACGGCGTGGGGATGTCTACGTGCTGACGACACGTACCCCCTAACCCATGGGCGCGAGACAGGGACATCGCCGGTAGGCCTGAGCCCATTCACGGGGAGCCGCGCCAAGTACATACACACATACGATCATCACGACCGGCGATAATAAGATGCATTCGAATACAATTTGAAACTGCTGTATTTTTGAAATTGTCCCTGGAGCTTCATGTAAAGTACCCTCCAAATTTAGTATAGGTATCAAGGACTCACAAAACATTGATTTCGACAACACCACGTGCTAGCAACATGCTAGAGAAAAATAATTTACCATATGTTGGGATAAGATTTATCCACTTTTTCGTTACCAGGGCGCAGTTTTCTATCGAAAATTCGCCGTTTTTTCTCTCCCAGCATTACAATTCCTTTCCTATTGTGCGTAAGCAGTACCGAGAAAGTAAAACCAAGTGTTTGCTAAACACTTAAAAACGAAAACACACTTAACGTCATTTGATTAGATAGATATGTGGTGTACGTTCAGAAAATTTAAATTAGATTAAAATTCGTTTCTACCTACATTATAATGAATATTGTGAATTTAAATCATTTTGATTAGTTTAAATACTTTTAGTGTGGATGCTCGATTAAATTCGAATAGGGGCTGTCATCTGCTAAGTGTTGTTTACGGACGGCAACAAACAGTCGACTGTTGACGCGCTCGGCCAAAGTTTCTGGAATTCCCTCAGAGATAACGTCTCCGATAAAAACGAAACGAACACCGCACGTACACATTTTTGTCTTGATTTATGCAGTATCATCTATCTGCTCACTATAATAGATTATTAATTTAGCGAACTTCATAATACAATACACCCTTGGTGTTGTTCAACTATTCTTTATAGACAGTTTTTTTAACGTCCTAGATATTCGAGTCAGATATTCATTTCTACTTAACGAAACTAGAACTACAGACACCGGGGCCCGTGACACTGGGGGTCCATGCAATGGGATTCGTGACCCTGGGGCCTCTGACAGTGGATCTCGTGCCACCGGGTCCCGTGTGTCTGGGGCCCGTGGGTCGTGGCCGTGAGAGTGACGCGCGCGTTGCAGAGACGCTGCGTCTGCACGCGCCGCTGATGGCCATGGAGAAGACGTGCACGCGCGCGACGGAGCTGCGCGGGGCGGACGGGGTGGCGTGCCGCGTGGAGCCCGGCACGCTCGTCGTCATCCCCGTGCGCGCGCTGCACCACGACCCCGCCTTCTACCCCGAGCCGCTGCGCTTCGACCCCGGCCGCTGGGCGCCCGGCAGCAGGGAGCGCCTCGTCAAGTACACCTACCTGCCCTTCGGCGAGGGCCCGCGCATCTGCCTGGGTGAGTCAGGGCGCCGCCGCAACGCGGCTGCATACTACACTGCGATTCTTTAATGTGAACGATGGAATTTGATCATCGTTACACCACATGCCTCAAATTTTATTTCTTAAATTAATTCGCGCGTCCTTCTTAAAGGGCCTCAGAAATTTGCTTACTTCTGTTAAAACTGCAGGAGATGTAACAATGACGTAATGTCATCGACCACTTAAAAAATCGACCTATAGGTTGTTGTCAGACCCTGACGTGAGCGAAGTTGTCGGGTGTTTTCAAATTCGACAGTATCAGTCATACATGCATTAATTGTGTCGTTTTCCGGCCAAACTAGTATGAGATCTGAAAGCGTACGTGTATGTTGGAATCGATAGATACCTGGCTGTCCGGGACGCCAGGTCCTATTTGCAGTCGTCAACAACTCGACCGTCATATTGTAAACGCAATATGACGGCCGAAACAGTAATTGAGCCCAGCGTCTCCCCAACAGACGTATCACAAGTATCGATACTGAGATCTGATTAGGACGGAAATTGACACTTGTAAGATATAATTTTAAGGGGGATTAAGTCAGAGTTTACATGTCACGAGCAATACATGGCACACCGAGGTACACATATTTCTTCGAATATCCATCACCATCATTGAACACGCAACTTTGACTTGGGGAAGACAGTATGCTAACACCCATGCCATTGTAGCTAGTTCAAATTCAGGTTCACGTTGTGCAATTTTACTTGCATTTTTAGTCGTGGATCTAATAAAATTTAATTTCGTTGTTTTGGCGTATTCACGGCAATTGTATAATGCAGTATGTCACTTATTTTATTACATTTTAATCAGGAACAACTAATGCGTAAGCTTCCTAAGCACATGGTTGATCTGGGCTGTCCGGGTGACGCCGCGTCGAAGGCTGAGTTGCCGACGTTTCGACCATCCTGTCGTGGTCTTCCTCAGGGCTGGTATGCGAATGCATACCAGCCCTGAGGAAGACCACGACAGGATGGTCGAAACGTCGGCAACTCAGCCTTCGACGCGGCGTCACCCGGACAGCCCAGATCACCCACATGACTCTGGTCGCGGAAGCCTACGACTTCATTTCCTAAGCACATGCTTAGAACTCCTGCTGGATAGGGATGTCTAAAAAAATGTTTAATCAAAATGTTACACCAATTCATAAATGTCTTAAAATACTAAATTAAAAAAAACATATTTAGATATTTTCAAATTCATCTTCAATTGTCATGATAAGTATTAACATTTACGTATTTTTGCAAGCCTTCATTGTTTGGTCTCGTATGATTCTAAGTAATCGGATGTTGAGAGTAACATCTGAGACTGAGAGGCCCTTGACATAACGAGTTGTCTTTGTGTGTGCAGGAATGCGTTTCGCTCAGCTTCAAGTGAAGCTCGCGCTCGCCTACGTCGTGGAGAAATTCGACATCAAGATGACGCCCAAGACCCCCAACCCGGTGGTGCAAGACCCCACGTACTTCCTGACCTGCGCCAAGGGCGGCCTGTGGTTGCGGTTTGAGGAGCGAAAGAGCACCGATAGCGAATAGACGTGTTCGCCGAAAATCTCTCAATGATCCGAAGAAGCACTTCAGTTTTTCGACAGAGTAGCGATAGGATTTACTGATTTTTTGTAAAGAAACACCATTATTATCTACATCAATACTCTTGTTATCCACTCCAATATCATATAATTACATTTGTTATAATATACTTCAAAATCCTCTACTGAAACAACTGAAGCGACGACGTTCTTGACTTTGAAGAATATCATAACTTGAAACATAATGGAAGCTAATATACACTGAAGTTCAGTAATATGGGATAGAAATAATACATTACCTTAACATACAACATTCAGTACAGTTTGTCCCAAATTAACATGTGTGAGGGATTAAATGGAGACCTTGGGGCAATAACGTGCAGCAATATGCTGCTGTTGTGCTGCTGTGCAACAATACGTACAGTTTTGAGAAAAAGATAGGTAAAGGCTTAGACGTTGCATCGTACACATAGGGATAAAGAACATTCATTTATGATTTACACTGCCATCTTGAGACGAATGTTTAAGCCAAAAACCCAATATCTAAGTACATGTATGAGAAATACACCAAATCTCAATTTCATCAGAAAAGTGGTATAGCATGTTATTGCCGCAAGGCCTTCAATTAATATGTGTATAACGCACTAGGGCATGTAGAAGGGTTGAAGATGAGCAATGTTTGCACATTAATAAGTGATTGGACATTTCATATCACGGATATACGCGTGTGAAATTTGCTTTCGATAATAAGGGAATCTCATACACTACTGCCTGTCAGCCACACGAAATTTCCTTGACTGCATCACTACGTGATCTGTGAGAGAGGCACGAGAAGAGTTGTCAAACAATCAGGAGCACATGTCACTTATGTAAAATTATATAGAATTTTTTCAACACCTATCCATTGGGAAAATGTAATCGACTTACACACTTTTACACACTCTAAAAGTTTGTAAGATTTGTTTTGAGACATCTGCATGTATGTACGTATATAGTACAGGGAATGGAAATGGGAGATATTCTTGGACAAAAGTTTTAAAAACCATTGCTATAGACCAGGGGTGTCCAACTTACAAGGCCTGGAGGGCCGCAACTAAAACCGTTCATATGGTTGCGGGCCATATTTACATTATTCGGAAGACTTATACCTGACTTCCCCGAATTGTTGTTCTGGACAGTTTGCCCGGCTGCTCAGAATCGGGGGTGGGGGCGGGGGTGGGGGGTGTAGGAATGGAACCATGCGTGAAATCAGGCCATACCATACATAATGCAATGACAGAGAGTGGGATTTTTTTTATTTTTGAACCTACCAGAAACATTCATAAATCTCTAAAACTTACATTATTTTTTTCATTAAGGGGTGTTGACCCCGACTGTGCGCGAGCGCAAGACGCAAATTCTCGCCCGACAAAGTTTTGAGGGATTTTCACTTTTCCCGGGCCACGATAAATGGCATTGCGGGCTGCCAAATGGACAACCCAGCTTTAGACTTGTCATTTTGTATCTTTGATTAATTTTTCGGTTGATAACGAAAGAGATTGAAGATATACTATTGTTTAAGTGATTTATTTTTATCAAGTTATCATCTCAATGAGTGCTTCATTCAATTTTTGATCTCCAGGACTGATTTTGTTTACGAAAATTTATGTAAACAGTTTTATAAAAGTCATAAATAAAATAATAAACATGTTTTAAAACTGAAAATGATGTTCTTGTCCTAATGACACAATTCATACTGATAGTAATCTTGGCATTCACAATTGGCATCACCCTCAAAAACCGAACGACTATTTTTATACCAACTTTCAAACCCAGAAAAGAACCGAAAGGTCGAAAGTTGTAAAAGTATACGTGATTTAAAACGTATTGACTTCGTAAAACCTTTTGACAAAATGACCCTCGTCAGAGTAAACAAGCCTTTTTCACAAACGCAGGCATACTCGAAATATCATTTCGAGTTAAGGAGTAAGGATCTCACAAACTATCAATTATTAATAATAGCAGAATTTATAGTAGACATTGTGCGTAAAGGGCGACACCAGACAGAATTGTTCCTGAACATAACCAAAGCATCTGGCACACGGATATAAAATTCAAAGTAACAAAGACTGGGTTGTCAAAGTACCTACAACAGATCATCATTAGTTTCCTGGAGCAAAGATGATTCAAAGCAATAAGTACTGCCTTCTCTGAAATGCATACAATAATAACACGTGTACCACATGTACCTTCAGAATCCAGTTATCTTTGAAAAGTATGTCTCAGAATATCTGGCAACTAGATTCATATGGCGTTCTTGAAAATGACACGGCACTTCACTTGTCACATACCAAAGCAAGAAAAAGTCTACTAGATGATATGGAAATTGATAGAAATTGGATAATATAATTAAATCAACAATAGTCAAAAGTGCACATTTTTCTATCAGAAAAATTCCATGGCAACTTCAATGAAATAGTCATGAAATTATTTGGCTAGATATCAACAAAACAGTTATATATTTAGCTGTTGACTAGAACGATCATTTAACACAAAAAACTCACATTACTAACGTAACATGAAAATTGCAAAGATATCAACATTATATCCTCTAATCAACAAACATTCAGATTAAAATAGAATGCACCATTCTCATTTACAGAAATCATGTACGTTTTAGTTTCTTGAAATTGCTAACTATCGATTACCAGTTGCAGTGGTTAGCAATACTTTTATAAATTATTTTATGACTACTTTGACATATTACTTTTTATGTGTGGCGTATTTATTCTACTGTTTTAAATTATTTAAAAAATTACAAGCGTAGATCATGTAAATATACAAAAAGTAAAAATCTAGCACTATCATAGAAAATCGGTGAAAAATGACAGAGATCTAAGAGGGATAAGAGGCAGTGAGCTGTGTCTCCCGATTTTCGCAACATATAGCGAGACTGATGACGACGACAAAGCTGCCAAAAACCGGCTCCCTGAATAAATCTAATAAGTTGACGACGATGCCTTCAGTCATTATATAATTTAATTACGTTAACAACACCACACCAGCGTTCCCACAATTTTTCATGCTGTCCGAGAACAAAGTGTAATCCAATAATTTGGAGCCATTTGTAAGAAACTGAGGATTTATGTGACGTCCTGCTCCTCCCAAAATCATAATGTCAATTTCGACTGCAGAGCCTTGAGTTCGTTTATATCGATCAGGAAATTTCAATTTCGGAGAAAACTATCTGAACGGTTTAGGCGCCAGCGTCGACCATAGACGAATGGACAGACAGACGTTTTGCCGTCAATCGATTTTTCGGTGTCAAGTACCCCCAAAATATAGACTCTGACTACACATGTTATAGGACGTAGTTTATTGTATACGGGAACAAGATTTATTCAATTTTTTTAACCAAGGCTAGGCAATAAGAGTTTTTCTGTAAAAAAATCGCCAGTTTTACTCCGCAGCATTTCAATACTTGCTCTATAGCAGAAGATGAAGTACAAATGTCTTTGTAAATTACTTATCTTTTTATTAATATGAGCCATTTTATTCGTTGATGTATCAGTTTGACATTGCAGGGAGCGTCAGACGTATTCAAAGCCTAGTGGTTCGAATTATGTTTGTAGCGATTCGATTTATGTTTGATTTTGATGCAGAGTCCCAAATTGGACATGCATAAGAAATTATAGATCCAATCATTGTTTTATATAAATGTAACTTAAAGAGAAGGTTAAATGAAGAAGAGTATTTATCAAGAGGAAGAAGCCTAGCTGATGTCATCATTTATTTGCTTGGGAAATTCTGATTGTGATGTTTCGCCAAAGGGGCCTCCAGTCGTAGGAGGGAGCCAAGGGAAATTGTTAACGCCGGGAAGGCTAGTCTCTCGTCGCCTTGTGCAGTGTTTGGAAGGAGCTCGATAGGCGCTCCTTGTTTGTTATAAAAAGAAGAAGAAGGTGGAACGTAAAGGGAACGAAACAGTGTCCGAAGAACGTCAAATCATAGCTGGGCTGCATAATCAATGCCAAACGTTGAGGGAACTTTCTGAAATATTAAACAGAGCTATGGTTACCATCTCCCACGTAATTAATATTTACTTCCGAAAGGAACTTTTTTACCAGGAAGTATCTCTCACGTCATTTATATTTACATTGCATTGGTTTTTACAAATTATTTCATTTATGAGTAAAAGGGCTCGAAATGACATTTCATTAATTCTCTGTGAAAATAATCTGTAATGTTTCTGTACTTCTCAAACGATTTCTATGAAAACGAACTCAAAATTGTGCATTTTCTAAAACACTCAAATAACATTTTTTCAAGAACGCGATCATATTTTTCAATGATATTACTTTTCTATAATATTCTTAAAGTGATATTTAAATTCTTCTGTTGGAGAGGAGATTTTGAGGAGACCGGCAAATTGAGAACAGGTGGAAACTAGTGGTGCTAAACCAGCACGCACTTTCTCGGTCGTATTTTTACGCACAATTACGAGAAAGATCTCAAATTTTCGAAAAATTGTAAATGGCTATTTCAAAATATATCTTTAAGAAACAAATTTCATTATAGGAAACATCTCTATTTTTAATATTTTATTTTCAGGAAGACTCCGAAAAATGTGAACTTTTGCAATTTTCGAAAAATAAGTTTTCAACGAATATGAGACCTGCATTCTCTTAAGCATCCTATTCACTATTCAACAACAAAATTTAATCAAAATAAATGGAGCTATTTGTTTGAAAAATATGAAAATGTTCCAGGAGCTTCATGTAAAGCACACCCAAAATTAAAATATGGGTTTCAAATTCAACAGTCCGCGACATCAGCCAGATTTATTGACGAATATCAGTTTTAGAGAAAATCGGCTGATAGGTTTATTCGCTAGCGTTGTGGGAACCGGTGAATTTCAATATTTACTTCGGCAGTTTACCTGCAACAGCTTTCGAGTACCTTTACTCACCCTCAATCCTCTCCGAATGATTTCCGGCAGAAAAGCCCTTGTGGTCAGACTCTGGTAACTAAAAATAGATAATTCCTGTTTCTAATTATAAAAAAATCCTCAAACACGTAATGTAGCCAGAATCTAGGTTTTGTGGGTTCCTTATTTAGAAATATTGACGCACGTCTGTAGGGAA